GCCCTTATTTTCCAATGAACATTCGTTTCAGCTCACTCAAGATAACAAAGGTCCTCTCAAGGCTTTTAATGGGGCTGAGTGTAACGGTATGGTCATTTAGGATTAGTGGCTTCTACCTTCATGAAGTATGGTCTGAACATCACTTTCCTCCTCTTCTTTAACATTTCAAACATCCTCATAATCCACCCCATTATTCAACTTCATATGAACTAACATATACCCTATTTCTTTAGCAATCTTCACTACTTTATTTAACAATTAATTTTTATTTTTTACATGGAGGGGTTCTGATAAGTCCACAATGTGGAATCATTTACGACTTTATTTTAACAGAATTAGTGTCCTCAAATACATGTTCTATGTCAATGAATGATGTAAATCTCTGAATTGTAGGTTGCATGGACACTATTGATCAAAAAAAGAAAAAAACAATCTAAAGGAATGAAGAAATGAACACATGATGATCGATGATGTCATTCGGTGAATCGCCAAGATACCGCCTAAAGTTACAGAATGTCGGAGCTAAAATGTGGTGAATTCGGCAAGCAACAACTATATTCGGCGTATCGGCGATCTAGTCAGCGAAGGACAACCAGGTCGCCAAAAGTGCTAAAGAAGATTCAAGCAAGTTCTAATGGGCGAGATGGAACGACAAAGGGTGAATTGCGGAGTAATTCGGTGATCCCGACTTGGATCACCTAAAGTTACAGTAGCCAGACCAACAATAAGCGAAAAATGAAGGCGAGATGAAAAACAATCGGTGATTCACCGATCTGTCAGCGACACCCGACTTACTTTATCGAGTGGTCATAAGCAGTGACACTTTAGACTTGTTTAAATTAGATTTGGCTAGAGAGAGAAATTCATTCATAACATGAGGAAGGAATTACTTAGTGAGAAAACACTACCAAAGGGTTTAGTTAGTGATTTTAGCAAGATTTTGAGAGAGATTTTGTAAGACAGGAGATTATCAATAGATTTAAATCTATAATTCTCATTTTGTACCCAACTATGGGAGTGATAGTTGATTTTGATTTTCTTAATTTTGAGATGACTGGCTAAAACTCTTTACTTGGGGTTTTGATCATGAAGCCAATAGTTGAATTTACTTAGTGGGTGTTTGTTAGTTCTGAAGAATGATGTTAATTTGAACTGGGTCTAAGTTGTTGCTGTGTTTCGAGGTTGAATTGCGCAACTTCGTGTAGCAATTTCAGTGTTGTGCACTTGCTCGAGAGAGAGGTGTGGAACCAAGGTGGCAATATTAGAGTCCTTAGTAGTAGGTTTCCTTGGTTTCAACTTGAGAGAGTGAAACAAGTAATCCATCCTTTGTATTTAACTCGAGAGAGTGGATTTGATGAGGGTAAAGAGCTGGGCCTCTTTCGATTGGTGTTGAAGTTCGAGAGAATTCAACATAGAAAAGGTAATTGTTCGACAGAAAGTTACTTTATACATGATTCAACCTACCCAAAACAAATGATCCCATTATGAGCAGTAACGTTTATCCACTTTGTTGAGATTCAATAATTGGCTGATCAATTCCCAATCTTTACTCTAATATTTGATTGTATGTGTTGTAGTGTAAATTTTGATTGGTAGTTAAAACCTAAAATTTGAGATTTGAACATTAATTGTGCAAGAATTGTTTGATTGAAGAGGTTGTCATTGTACTTTTATTATTGAATTTAAAGGAAGTACTACTCCTCGTGGGATCAACTCCAACTCACGTAGTTGGGTTATTATACAAACAAACGATCGTTGGCATTTAGTATTGGATGAAATGCCTTGAAACGTTAATCAAAATGGCGCCGCTGCCAGGGAGTAGTGTTACTTAGAATTCTTTGATTGAAGATTTGACACTCTCAAATTTTTTGGCTATAGTTGAATTAGTTTTGGCTGCTTTGTGTAAATGTTGGTTGGACTACGTAAAAGTGAACATGAGTGAGGAAGATATGAAGGACCGCCATGCAGGTCATCAAGATGGTATAGACGACATCAATATTGTCTACAACCCAGGTCAATCGGGTGGAATATGTGCAATTTTCATCCCACAAACTGATGAGAATGCAATGTTTGAAGTCACTAGCACAACTCTTCATCTTCTCCAAATGAGGGGACTATATGGAGGGCTAGATCACGAACACTCGCATGAGCATGTGAGAAACTTTATAGAGGTTTGGAGCCCTTTTTCATTCAAAAATGTGTCACAAGAGTCAATTCGGTTGCGTTAAGTGGTTAGCCGAGTTACCAAACAATTCCATCACATCATGAGAGGAGCTGGTTATAACATTTAACACAAGATTCTTTCCTCCATCAATAATGATGAAACTTAGGGATGAAATTCAAAGTTTCAAGCGACGGGAGGGGGAACCCATCTGTGAAATGTGGGTGGGATTCAAGAAGCTCCTCTTAAATGCCAAACTCATGGGCTACCAAACGATTTGTTACTTCAATATTTCTATCAGAGTCTCGATTCGGTTAATAAAGTAGTGGCTGATCAATTGGTACGAGGAGGAATAATGTTACAATCATTTGAGGTAGCGTTGTTTCTTCTGGATGATATGACTAGAATAAACCAAGTGTGGTACTCCTAAGAGGATCAAGTCTCTCAATTTGAATTTAGATTACGCAAAAGCAACTTGATAAAGAGAGAGAGGGATGAAAACATCAAGAAGATGTTAACCCAAATGGAAGTTCTACAAGAGCACATGGAGGGGACATGTGAAGTGTTTAGAGTTGAGGAGGGTTCTTCTTCCGGTTACTCAAGGCCGGAGGAGAATAAAGTTGGAACTCCAAGAGATATGAGGAGGGTTTCCACTAACGCTATCTACAGCGAGGCAGAAATCAAGGTTGGAACTATCATAAGGGAGAAAAACAAAGGAAATACTATCAAGATTGGGCCAAGCAAAATGATTATTGGAGAAGGGAAGATGATTATGAGGAGAACCATACTCACTCAAGTGAAAACCCAAAATCAAAAGGGAGTGCAAGCAGTCCCCGGGTGAATGACTTGTTGTCACGCATACTTGACAAAGTTGAAGGTTTAGATGATTTGTTGAAAGGGATGAAATATGACTTTTCATCACTGAACCATAAAGTGAACTCTCATGCCGACGCCATCGATACACTTTAAGGGCAACAGGGTTTAATATCAGCTCATTTGAAACCAAAGATAACGATGGAAGATGACGATAGAGGGTTGGTTGTCGTTACTCGTAGCAGAAAGGTGGCAATAGGTAATGTGATGGGAAATAAAGATTCTCAAAAGCATGAAGAAGGTAAAGGCATGGAAGAACAAGAGTTACTTATTCATCAAAACCTTGCCAAAGAACCACAAAAGGAAGTGGAACAACACATTCAAATTCCAGAAGTCATGCAGCCTTTACCCAAAATACCTCCACCATTTCCCCACGTTTAAAGAATAAAAATAAAGATGAGAAGTTCAAGAAGTTCTTATCAGTGCTCAAGACACTATCAATCAACCTCCCCCTTGTGAAAGCATTGTTGGGAATGCCGGGATACGCCAAGTTCAATAAAGAGTTGTTCACGAAGAAAAGGAGTTTGGATTTTGACACAATTGAACTTTCCTATAATTGCAGTGCAATTATGACTAAGGAGCTGATCAAAAATAGAAGATCCCGGGGCATTCAACATTTTGTGCACCATAGGTATGCTCCAATTCGCTAAAGCTTTATGCGACCTAGGAGCAAGCATCAACTTAATGCCCTATGCGATATACAAACAACTTGGGTTAGGTGAACCGAAAACAACCACAATGAAACTATTGATGGCAGACCGTTCAATCAAACATCCCGTGGGGATACTTTATGACATCTTGGTGAAGGTTGATCAATCATTTTTTCAGCTGATTTTGTTATTTTAGATTGTGAAATAAATGCTGAAATTCCCATTATTTTGGAAAGGCCATTCTTAGCAACCGAGAGAGCATTAGTGGATGTTGAAAGTAGAGAATTGAGGTTTCGGGTGAACGAAGATGTAGTAACTTTCAATATTTGTAAATCCATGAAACACCCAAGTGATATTCATGTAGTGTCTACTGATGATATTATCAATGAGGCGGTAGCTAGTGTAAGCCATTCGATGTGCATGAATGAACCCCTTGAAGCCGTAATTGCTAATTATGATGAATCCGAAATTCAGGGCTATGAGGAGGTAGTAGCTACTTTGACAGGTTTCAGAGAGTATTCAAAGACTCCAATCGAGTTGTATATTAACCTAAAAAATAAAGAGACTCCTCCCGTAAAGCCATCAAACAGAAGAACCACCTGATCTGGAATTGCAAACACTTCCCTCTCATCTCCGATATGCTTTCTTGGAGGTAAATAATAGTTTACAGGTGATCATTGCAGCTGACTTTCTTGAATGGTAGGTGAAACTGCTACTTGAAGTATTGCGAAAACATATAAAAGCTATAATATGGACCATCACTGATATACTAGGCATCCCTCCCAATATTTGTACTCACAAAATCCAGCTTGATAATGAGTGTAAGCCTAGTGTTGAGCATCAGCGAAGATTAAACCCACCAAAGCAAGAAGTGGTAAAAAAAGGAGATCATTAAGTGGTTGGACGCAAGTGTAATCTACCCTATTGCAGATAACAAATGGGTAAGTCTGGTGCAATGTGTACCGAAAAAGGTAGGTGTCACCGTAGTCCCAAATGCAAAGGGGTAGCTTGTGCCAACTAGACCGATGACCGGGTGGAGAGTATGCATAGATTATCGAAAGTTAAATTTGTGGACTAGAAAAGATCACTTTCCTATGTCATTCATGGATCAAATGCTTGACAAGCTATCAGGGAGAGGTTGGTACTGCTTTTTAGATGGGTATTCCGGTTACAACCAAATCTCCATCGCACTAGAAGACCAAGAGAATACCATCCTCATATGCCCCTATGGGACTTTTTCCTTTAAAAGGATGCCCTACGGGTTATGCAATGCTCCGATAACCTTCCAACGTTGCATGTTATCAATTTTTGCCGACATGGTAGAAGACTCAATGGAGGTATTTATGGATGACTTCTCAGTTATGGATGATACCTTCGAGACGTGCTTAGTACACTTAGGACAAGTTCTCCAAAGATGTATGGAGAAGAACTTGGTCCTCAACTGGGAAAAGTGTCACTTCATGGTTAAAGAAGGAATAGTACTGGGTCACAAGGTGTCTCAAAAGGGGTTGGAGGTTGATAGAGCAAAGGTTGAAGTTATTGAGGAATTTCCACCACCAATTTTGGTTAAGGGGGTTCGTAGCTTCTTAGGACATATCGGTTTCTACCGGAGGTTCATCAAAGACTTCTCAAAGATTGCGCATCCTTTATGCAAACTCTTAGAGAAAGAGGTGAAATTCCATTTTGATGATGCTTGTATGATATCTTTCCGGTTCTTGAAGGAAAAATTAGCATCGACCCCAATCATTATCAATCCTGATTGATCAGAATCTTTCGAAGTAATGTGTGATGCAAGTGGAACGACATTGGGTGTTGTGTTGGGGCAGAAACACAATAAATTTTTTCACCCAATTTATTACGTAAACAAGACTCTAAACCGTGCTCAGCGTAATTATATCGTGACTGAAGAAGAATTGCTTGCAGTAGTCTGTGCATTTGAGAAATTTCGGGTGTACTTATTTGGCTCTAAAGTAATTATTCACACTGATCATGATGCACTCCGTTACCTAATGGAAAATAAGGATGCAAAACCAAGGTTGATAAGGTGGGTGCTCCTATTGCAAGAATTTGACTTTGGGGTCAAAGATAGAAGAGGTTGCAAAAATCAGGTGGCTGACCACTTATCCAGGTTAGAGGGCAAGGAGAATGATGTGCCTGAGATTGACATATACAATTCCTTTCTTGATGAACAAGTGATTGCAATAACTCTCAAACAAACTCTTCTACCAACAAAAGAGGTTAATGTTTGATGTTAACAAGTACTTTTGGGATGAACCATACTTGTTTTGAGAGCGTGTAGTTCATATCATCAGACGGTGTGTTCTGGAAGAGGAATTGGTGGAAATTCTCCATGCTCGTCATGCTTCATCGGTTGGGGGGCATCATAGCGGTGTGCGTACAACCGCTAAAGTCCTCCAAAGTGGATACTACTGGCGATCCCTCTACAAAGATGCGCATGAATTTGTGAAGAAATGAGCCCAATGTCAGAAACAAGGTGGAGTATCTAAAAGACATTTACCCCTTACTCCCATTTTAAAAGTTGAGCTATTTGATGTTTGGGGAATCGCTTTCATGGGCCCATTTGTGAGTTCCTTTGTTAATAAGTGTATCTTGGTGGCAGTAGATTATGTTTCTAAATGGGTAGAAGTTGTTGCACTTCCAAACAATGAAGGGAGAAGTGTGGTTCAATTTCTGAAATGCTACATCTTTGCTAGATTCGATACCCCTCAAGATATTCTCAGTGATGGTGGTTCCCATTTTTGCAACAAATGGTTCTCAGCTGTATTAAGTAAGTATGGGGTGAAACACAAAGTAGCAACTCCATATCATCCGCAAACAAGCGGCCAAGTTGAAGTATCAAAATGAGAAATCAAGAGTGTCACACCCCTATTTTCCCCAAACGAAGTGTTTGAAAAATAGAGTTTCTCCAATTAAAGTGACATTTTGAAAAGGGATTATTTTATTTCAGAGTCGCCACTTGGAATTGAGTTTTGGTGTTCCAAGTCACCTAATTTTTACCCCTAATCAAAACGAAGTTGACTCTAATTTTTAATGGTCTGCGAACTAGAAATCTGGATAAGAAATTCTATTGACCAAGGGGAAGGTGTAAGGCACCCCTCGAGTCCCGTGTTTCTAGCACAGTTGCTTCATTGACTTATATCTTGGCTTGACTTAGTTTTTGGATATAGTATACTTATTAGCTATATATTTACTTATGTCCCACCTTCTTTGATTTATTGTAACTGTCTTGTTTACATTTTTTAGAGTCCGGAGAATTTTAGTATTGTCGTTTTAGTGGGAGTCGATATTTGAATTATAATAGGAGGTAAACTTCTATGGGATTTAGAATTAATTTTAGAAAAAAAAGAAAATGTTAAAGAGGTTAAGACCAATTTCTTGGAAATTTCTTTAATTTTTTATTCTATTTCTTGCACGTCATTTTTTTTTTGTAGTTTTTATTTTTATATATTTTTTTAACATTCTGTTTCTTCTTCTTCTTACCCTTTTTTTTTTTGTGCACATCTTGTTTTATTTATATTATTTTTTCATTCTACTTCTCTCTTCTTATTTTTATTTTTTTTTCTTTGTGAGTTTTTTTTTTCAAACGTTCTGTATATTTTTTTTCATTCTGTTTTTCTTCTTTGCTTTTTATTTTTTAATTTTTGTTGTGCTATGTTTTTGTTTCATTATTTTTCGTTGTTCTTTTTTATATATATTTTTATAATATTTTTGCTTTTGACATTCTGTACATTTCTTTTTCTTTTTCTTTTTTTTTTAATCTATTTTAATTTAATTTGTCTTCGTAGCTTCTCCTTATACTAACAAGTTTATTATTATTATTTTTTGTAGAATCCTAAATATCAAGACAACACACATATTATAGCATAAAACATGACTTAATACTTTTCTAAATACTATCGAACAAAGAATTCATTCAACTTAGTAAGACACAAACATAAAAACTTTGATAATTAATTAAGGAAAAAGAGCGAGGAATGGACTCTTAAACATGTAAGAAATACTCACATGTCATATAGCATGTTCGAATATATTTCAGTACACAACATTAATAATATTAACATATTAAACACATACGAAATCTGAACAACTTCAATATATTGAAATTAATTCTTGCACAATAATGACATAAAATTATGCAAAAAATAAAAATACAAATAAATGTTACCTCTTGTGAAAATTAGTTAACGAGAAGAAATGACAAATAATCAGGAGCCACGAACTTGAAACCGCGAAAATATATTTCCAGATCTTCAATTACAATGTGAGAAAGTACAATATGTATTGCTTTTTAATTAATGCCTATATCTCTATGTATGCTTTTTTTGTCTGTCCTTTTTTTTGTAGTATGTGGGTGTATGTATATAGGTGTTAGGATAGGTGTAGGTGTGGGGTAGTGGGTTGTATTGTGTGGGGTGTGGAATGTGGAGGAATACGTGAGGGAGTGGGAGTGTGGGGAAGTTGAGAGAAAGTGGGAGTATAACTTGATGATGGTTTTATTTTCTTTTCTTATTTATTTTTTTAATTTTTGGAAGAAAAGTCAAAAGCTTTTGTTCTCCTTTTCCCTTTTTGTTTTTGTACGTGTAGTATGTTTTGGATAGGAGTAGGAGTGGGGTAGGTTTGTTAGATTATTTAGGTTATTTTTTATTTTAATTTTAGTTTTACTCTACTTTTAAAAGAATAATAACTAACTACAAATAATAAATTATAATAACATATAAACTAATTATTTAAAATTAATAAAAATCTAAGAAAAAGTCAACTAGCTATATATATAAAAAAAAAACAATTAAATAATACTAGCTTATTTATAAAAACTTAATTTCAAATATAGATTTTTTGGAAGTCTTTTTAAACAATTGACAATAAAACTTACCTTAAAAAGTGATTCTATTTTGTTGTTTTCGAATCTTTTAAAATAAACTTAATAAAAATAAGAGAAAAGTCAAAATGTTTAATTTATATTTATAAAAATATTTCAGCTCTAAGAATGGTGTAAAATTTTAAGTTCGGTCAAAAAATGCGTGTCTACAGTTTGCCCCTCTTTGACTGGAAACACAAAGAGTTTTCAGACAAATAAGTAGACAACATGACAAGTTTTGAACGGACTCTTATTCGAAAAGAAAAATATGCGACCGAGTCCTAGTTTTGGACATCCTACATATCCCGGGTTATAAGGGAATCAGGTCACGTGTAGTTCAAGGAGATGAAATGAGGAGTTGGAAGTCAAGTGAGGTCCCATTGAGGCTCCAGTTCGCGACTCCTATTGTTACATGAATATAAAAGACGAAAAATTTAATGGCAATACAAATACACGACCCTATCTATGTAGCTTTTCTTGAACCTTGACTTGAGTCTTTGCGCTTCTTGAGTTATGAGATATTGATTTTCATCTCAAATGAGTTCAAAGGTAAACGTCTTTCTCCAGGTAGGTTCCTTTTACTGGTACTTGGTTATTGACTTTTTTTTTTTTTTTTGAATGAGTTGCTGCTTCTTCAATCGAAATTGATCTTGAAAATTACACTTTTTCCATCCAAGATCCTGAGCTGGAAATGTGGATTGACCCCATTCTATCACTAGATTCCTTAATTAAAACAAAAAAAAAAAAAAACACAAAATTTTGCCCCAGTTTAATATAAGAAAATTTTGTGAGAAAAATAAAAGATGGTACTTAGCTTTAAATCGAGACTTTGAACGATTCGAGCTTTGTCGCGATGTACTCTTTAGAGGGCTTATGCGTGTTTACACCAACTCCATTCTTCATGATGAGCCGGTTAAATAAAATTATGTTAGTCTAGTCCTATTATCCAGGAGGGTCCTTGCTATACTACGTCCCATTATTCAGGAGGGTCCTTGCTATACTACGTTCCATTATTCAGGAGGGTCATTGCTACACTACGTCCATTATTCAGGAGGGTCCTTGCTACACTACGTCCCATTATTCAGGAGGGTCCTTGCTATACTACGTCCCATTATTCAGGAGGGTCCTTGCTATACTATGTCCCATTATTCAGGAGGGTCCTTGCTATGCTACGTCCCATTATTCAGGAGGGTCCTTGCTACACTACGTCCCATTATTCAGGAGGGTCCTTGCTACACTACGTCCCATTATTCAGGAGGGTCCTTGCTATACTATGTCCCATTATTAATGAGGGTCCTTGCTATACTACGTCCCATTATTCAGGAGGGTCCTTGCTATACTACGTCCCATTATTCAGGAGGGTCCTTGCTATACTACGTCCCATTATTCAGGAGGGTCCTTGCTGTATTACCTCCCATTATTCAGGAGGGTCCTTGCTACACTACGTCCCATTATTCAGGAGGGTCCTTGCTACACTATGTTCCATAGACTAATAAGACAAACAAACACTTACCCAATATGGACTATAATTCGTGTGCAATGTTGCCATTTAGCTCTTCGTAGACTAAATTGAACATCCAGGTTTTTCGATCTTTGATCTCAAAATAACTTGTGCCCCTGCTTCAACAAAGAAAATTTGTGAGTTTAAAAACGTGGTGGTTGGTTTGTGGTTCTGTCCTTTGACGAGGATTGCTCCAGTACTCATCGTGTTTTACTTTTTCTAAATGCCCAGTGCTCGCTATTGATTGATTGTATTTTCACCCAAATTTGCTCATTTTGAGGGACTTAAATCCAATATCTGCCTTTATGTCATAACACTCATTGTTTTCCCTTCATCAAATCATGGACTTCTTCTGAATCCAAAACTTGCCGACAGATGATAAC